TCCCGCAGCTCCGCCTCTTTCAGCAGATCTGTCCGGTCCAGTACGTGGCTGGTTTTATCTTCTCCTACGATCTTTGCATCTGGTCTTTTTGATGCGGGTTTATCACCACTTACATGGTGAATAGGTGGCTTCGTTGATGGTGTCCCACCTGTGAGTTTCATCTCGGCGGCAGTACAAAGTTTCCTGACAGTCCTTTCGGCATTTCTTGACTCTTCGTAGGTTTTGTCTGATTTCTGATCAGGTTGTTTGGTCCTTTCTCTCTTGGTTGTTTTAGGACTGTCAATTTATGCCGAATACTGTCAGCTCATATCATGCGCCGCTGGCGGAGCCGCTTCAGCTTGCGTTTGAGGTGGATGTCACTTCTGCTCCGCTCCGCAAGCTTTCTTGGGCGTTGTTTCACCTCTGGCCTGCTCATGCGCCACCTGAGCCATCCTGGTCAATGGACCGGGTGCTCTCTTTTCTCCTCTGTTTATGGTGGCCCCTTTGGTTCCGGACTGTTTTTCTAAGGCTCATTTTTTTGTTGACATTTGCCTCTGGGGGTCTGGTTGGGGTGCTTCATGTTCTCCTCTGGTGCTGGGGTTTCTGATCTTTTGGTACTGGTGGTCGTTTTATTAGTTTGCAGTCGTCTCCTTTTCTGGCGAAGAATGAGACTGCTGCTTTCTGTAGGGGTCCTTGGATAGTTGATGCTTGGTTGGTTCGGCCAGGGGTGCATCATGTTTTGTGTCCGGTTGCGGCTCGTCGCTGTTATCTGCCCGCCACAGCCTCCGTGGCAGGGGATGCGCTTTGGGAGGACCTGGTTTCCCTTCTTCCCTGTTCTAGGGCGCAAGTCTCCTAGGTCATCCTCAGGATTATTCGGTCCAGCCAGCCTGCGGTCTATCCCCGTGCCCATGACGTTCGTAAGTTCGCGGCTTTGGCTGCTGTTTTTGGGAATATGTCCTGGGCTGACATTTGGGCACGGGGCCTTTGGAGGTCAAACAGGGTCCTAGCCACACTGTATCTCATTAATGTTCCTGGCCCTTCTAGGGCGTGTTTAGTCTTGGGTCACAGGTTGCAGCTAGTTATCTCGACTTCGAAATGAGGAGCGAGTGACGACTGCCTCCCGGGTAAGTCCCTCTTTTTCCTTTATCTTTGGTTAGATAGCTCCAGAGAACTGAAGGGGCTCTCCACAGAAAACCAGCGTTGAATGTAATGAAACGCCATTTTCTGGGTGAGACCCGAAGGCTCCCCGGCATTCCTCCCTCCCTCCCTCCGGTCGGCGTTTTTTTTTTTCGAGTTTTTGATATTCAGCCTCTGAACTGAGGAGAGTAGCCAGCGTGGAGGTCTGGGACTCCTCCGTCGTCCTCCCAGGTAGGGGGGGGTTGCACAGACGAATGCATGGCATGTGTGGTGACGTCATGCTTGTTTGCTTGTTTTTGATTGGGGAGTTCTGCTTGCTAGTTCGGCTTTCGGTTTGCAATTTTTAACCAGCTGTAGTTTGTTTTGGAATTCCTACCTTTCTGGGTGCCTGACCTGGTAGATGGCAGACATAGACTGCTTCCAATTACATGGGGGTGTCTATAGGCCATTGCTCCTCGTGCCTCTCTTGAGGGGGCCAGGTTCTGGCTCTGGTCCCCGGTAGGCCTAGAACTCCTTCGATTGACTGTTGCCATGGTCTAATATATACACATCAGCCCGGTATAGCTCCGGGGAGCCTCCGGGTCTCACCCAGAAAATGGCATTTCATTACATTCAACGCTGGTTTTTCAGGGGTTAGGCACCCAGAAAGGTAGGCATAACAAAACAAACCCCACATGGTAAAAAACTAAAACATAAAACCGAACAGAGAGGTAGAAACTCCCTACAATCCCAAAGAAACAAGCAAACTTTACACTTTACTGCCACGCCGATCGTCCGCACAGCCGGACGGTCAAGGAGCAGGTTGGCCGAGCGGACAGCACGCTGGACTTGTGATCCTGTGGTCCTGGGTTCGATCCCGGGCGCCGGCGAGAAACAATGGGCAGAGTTTCTTTCACCCTATGTCCCTGTTACCTAGCAGTAAAATAGGAACCTGGGTGTTAGTCAGCTGTCACAGGCTGCTTCCTGGGGGTGGAGGCCTGGTCGAGGACTGGGCCGCGGGGACACGAAAGCCCCGAAATCATCTCAAGATAACCTCTCAAGAAGCCCTTCCCACCCCGAGAGAGGGAGTGGGGGAGCTCCGGTCCTCACCGCGCCGGCTGCCTAGCATCAGTTCGTAAGCTAATGTCAACCGGGATAGACGCTTCTCTGGCCTCAGTTTTCTAGGCTGTGTTTCCTTTTGTGGCGTTCTCTACCGTGTGTTGTGTTGTGCGGTGGCCAGGGGTTCCTCATCAGTACCGGGGCTGCATGTGCTTACGGGCTTCCTTCCCTAAGCGCCCTGTGAGTACTGCCCCTGCGTGACAGGGTTATCTTCCCTGGGGCGTTCGGGAACCATTCCCGTAGAGGTTCTTGCTGCTCGACATTTGCCTCACCCTTGGGGCCAACTGGGGCTTGGGGCCCTTGTTTAGCTCTGGGTAGGGACTGGTATTGTGCTGGTTAGGGCGTCAAGGTGTTGCGCGATCTGCCACCTAAGCGGCGACCGGTTCCTGTTGCCTCTGGGGATGGTGTACTTTTGCAGATTTTTCTTTTGTTTTTATTTTCATTTGCCTGGTGGGGGTCTGCCTAGTGTGGCTATAGTTCCACTGGTAGTGTTTGGTGGCCCTCTGCTAGGCCCCTGTGATTGTACACGTTGCAGGAGTTTTCAGTGTTGTCCTCTACCCCTTGTTAGTTTTGGGTTTTAACTGGTTAACAACACCTTGTCCGGACTTCCCGTAGTTGGTACCCTACAGGCCCTGGAAACCCCTGTCGGGGCTCAGTGGACCATTGAATGTGTCTTCCGGGTTCCAACCCGTCTTGTACGGTTTCGTTGGTTGCTATGCCCTTGTCTCCGGGTGACAGTCGCCACTTTTACCTCCGTCATGTTGCCTGTTGGGTCACTGACACCTAAACCTGGAGCCTTGCGAGAGATATTCTCTGCTTGTTCTCCAGTACTCTCTGCTTGTTCTCCAGTACTCTCTGCTTGTTCTCCAGTACTCTCCTGGTATTATTACTGTTCAGAGTACAGGCGGCATCCGTGTTGCAAGCTAGGTTAGGTTGCTGCAACACACTAGGTTGGTTTTCCTCTCGGATCCCCCGAGGCTGCCCCCGTTCTGGTTAGGTGCTGTTTGCCCCTTTCCCTCCCTGTTCCCGGCTTCAGACCATTTGCGGGTTTTGGGGTCAGGGCAGGGTTTAGTTGGGGCCGAGACTTGGGCGGTTTCAGGGGCTGCCCCGTTCGGGTTGAGGATGGAGGTTTTCGAGCCTGTTCCTCCTACCAAGGCTTCTGGGTTTTACCAGTGGCCTTTTCTTGTTGCCTTTTCCATGGACTCTTCCTTTTCTTTAAGGGCTGAGGGCTTGGAAAACGGTTCTGCCCCGGGCCCTCTGTTGCGGGTTCCCGGGGCTGTGGGGGATGCCTGCTAGCAGGTCTGGGGCTGTTTGCTCCTGCCTGTGTTTTCTGCTTCAGGGCGGAGATTTTCGCCCATCCAGTCTGCTTGCTTCCCACTTTTGCTGGCGTGTTTTCGTATCTTTTGCGTCGGTCACAGCCCCTTGTTCTGGTGGCCATTTTCTTCTGCTGGTTTCCCAGCGTTGCAGTTTATTTACATGCGCCTGGATGTGCGAGCGAGCATCTTGGGCGAGTTTTTTCACCTTTTTCAGGGGTTTTATTCTCCTGTTGTCGTTTCTTTGCTTTTCTGGTGTTTTCTGCCCGTTTTCTGTTCCTCTGGGAATGTTTAAATGTTGATTTTACACCGGGTTTTCCGTTTTGACTGTTTTGAGTCTGGGCCCTAGGGTTTGGGCTCAGTGTCCCTGTCTGTTTATGCTTGCTCCCCACACCTTGTCCTTCAGTTTTCAGTCTGTTTTGACCGTTTTCCCTGGGGGTTCTGTCTGGGGGCTGTGCTTTGCCTTTCTGTGGTGTTTCTCCGCTGGCAAATGTGGTGGTTTGTGCTCCCCGGGTTCGATTCCAGGTTTCTTTGGGTTCTTTGGTTTTGTTCTGGAGGTTTCTTCCTCTTGGGCCCCCTTAGTGGGTTCAGGGGGCTTTGTTTCCTCGTGTGTGATCCGGTTCTGCCTTATGGGGTTCTGGGGTCTTCTTGGCTTGCAGACTGATCTTTTTGAGCCTTGGCACGTGTTGTGGTCGTGCTGGGACTTTGGGTTTTGTTGTCGAGGTGGGCCTTTTGATGCAGTTTTGTGCCTTCTTCGCCTGGCCGGCGTGGTGCTCTCTGCCCACTGGTCAGCGGCTTGTAATTTTCTTTTCCTGTGTGTGTGTGTAATTACCTACGTGTAATTACTTAAGTGTAGTTACAGGATGAGAGCTACGCTCGTGGTGTCCCGTCTTCCCAGCACTCTTTGTCATATAACGCTTTGAAACTACTGACGGTCTTGGCCTCCACCACCTTCTCACTTAACTTGTTCCAACTGTCTACCACTCTATTTGCGAAGGTGAATTTTCTTATATTTCTTCGGCATGTGTGTTTAGCTAGTTTAAATCTATGACCTCTTGTTCTTGAAGTGCCAGGTCTCAGGAAATCTTCCCTGTCGATTTTATCAATTCCTGTTACTATTTTGTACGTAGTGATCATATCACCTCTTTTTCTTCTGTCTTCTAGTTTTAGGATGTCACAGACGTGACATCTATGTAGTATGTATATAAAAACCTGCTCGGATGCGAATGGAACGTTGTGTGAAAATTTCAAAGCAATCGGTGAATAACTTTCGGAGAGTAGCGGTCATGCACAAACAAACATTTCCATTTTTATTTTATAGATATACTGTATAACCTTTACTGTATTACTCATTTATTTTCTATAAGCTAATTCCTCCCACACCATAGAAGTGGCTATTGGAATAATGACTATTCTGTATATATGATATAGAAGTACAGTAATGTGGCCAACTAATGCAGATGCCTTTGCCAGAGTTTTCGGTATGAGGACAAGGTGCGTTACCGGCAGTTGCTACAGCAATTCACAAGCTCTTCAGTGCTGCCTTCCAGCTATTCTGTGTACCGTGCACCGTCCAGGTCGTCCAATGTTTCCAACAGGTGCGTTCTGCTCCACTCTCGTCTGTGCTGCTGCTTATACAGTACTTTGTTTTATGGTTGCATCTTCTAAACTGTCTTTTAACTGACCATAGAAAAATGTATACATTAATAAGTTAAAAATTAATTTAACTCGTTTTATATGTTGGGTTTGTCTTTTCAACTGCTTACATTAGATTGTAAATGAAGGATTTATTATTTCAAATGCTATAATAGCAAATATTTTCCTTTTTCTATAGTTATTTTATGTACATTTATCTGAATAAGGTTAACTAACTTTTGAAATTAGTCTATGAATCTTTAATGCACATTTAATATGACGAATGTGATTATTTGGAACTACCATATCCTGTTTTTGTATAATTGTAGCAGCAGCTCTTTGGGACTAGTATCACGGTCCCGATGTAATTATATTTGGACGCAGGAAAAACGTCGGCAGCTTGAAGAATCACTCAGAGCTTCAACGTCTTCAAGTAGACCTCTCTTAGAAGGAACAGATTCTGGGTATGCATCATTAATTATTCTAAGGAGCAACTCTTAAGTTACTTTTATGAGTGAAAAGGGTTCTCCATCGTGAGGAAAGATCAAGACAAGCCAAAGAATGAATTACGTAGTCTGTGTGTTATCTGCTAGGTTGTGACATTTCTGTAATTGGCAGCATCATCCTTAATAGAAAAGATTATTTTTATGCATGGGAAAGTATCCAGAACTTGGAGTAATACCTTGTGACAATACTCACAGAAATCACAATAGCGTGATGCATCAAATGAACAAATCCACAAGGGCTGTGACGAGGATTCGAACCTATGTCTGAGAGAATCCCAGACGCTGCCTTAATCGACTGAGCTATGACATGGTCAAAAGAATTGCAACCAGAAGTTCTACTGAACTTCTGTATTAAGGCAGCATCTGGGATCCTCTTGGACGTAGGTTCGAATCCTCGTCACGGCCCTTGTGAATTTGTTCATTTGATGCATCACGCTATAGTGATTTATGTGCGTAATGAAGTAAGGGCAAAGAGGTAGAAGAGCTTATTGATAGAGCTCGAGTGCATGGGGAAATTGTGTAATACCCTGGTTTGTGTCTCTGAGAGGCTGCAGGATCCAAGTAAGTTCAGTAGAACTTATGGTTGCTATTCTTTTGTCCATGTCGTAGCTCAGTCGATTAAGGCAGCGTCTTGGATCCTCTCGGACGTAGGTTCGAATCCTCGTCACGGCCCTTGTGGATTTTTTCACCTTGTGACAACTTGAAGAGTACTTGGGTTCATTTATAGGATCTTGTACTTTTAAAGAGTTTGGAATCACTGTGATGTATCAATGTTGCTGATGCTGTGGTCTCTTTGTAGGGTTAGTGAACCAACAACCAGCAAAATGACGAAAGACATCCCAGTAATTGACTTGGCAAGAACAGAGAGCACCAATAGCGTTCAAAGTGCTAATGGTAAGAATTTCAGGGTAGTTTGATAGCATTGTTTGCTGCTGATTTTCGTTGCACACTATATTAAAATAGTATGAACAGGATAGAACTCAAAGGTAATTAACAGGTTTTATAGCATTATGATATTTCCGCAGATTCTGATAAAGAAAGTGTGATCTTTGTTGAAGAAGTGATACAACCGTCATCACGTAAAAACTCCCTGGAGGAAATCCTCCAAAGTTCACCCGTTTTTCAGAATAGTTGGTATAAGGATCTGTAAGTATAAGGTAGACACAGTTGATGTTTTCTCTTCTTGGCCTTGATTTATACCCAGAGAATAATGTCACTAATGTTATTACTGTACTTGTACTGTGATGTAATAAGAATGTGGATGTGTAAAATGCTGGTCGAGGATTCGTCATGCACTTGAGTGCCCACTTATTAAACTTTTATATCTTTCCTTGATTGTGGCTACTTAGCCAGTATTTATTAAACAGTTTATAAGCTCTGATGCACTATGAGGATGTTAAAAAGTAATAACCTTGTTCCAGAACAACACCACGGCATTTCCAAACTCGTAAACTGTTTAATAAATACTGTACGTTGCTATGATGAAGGAAAGATGTATAGGTTTCATAAATGGGTATTCAAGAGTTTGATAAATCGTGGGCCAGGTAGAAGGCCAATTGAACTCGGTTACTCGTAACAGCACTGACGCATATAAATTAAAGGAGTTATCCATTCTCCCAGTGAGGTTCTTGTCTGGTTCAACTCCCACCATCTCCCATCCATCTGACTTTTGTGACATTTTCTACACTTTATTAATTGTGGGTAATTTCTGGGAATTAGCAGTTCTTAGTTCTTTGTATCATTCTGTTAAATTTTCTTGGGCAATGGGTAATGTACACTACATCATTGTGAAATGGGAAGTCCACAAAAATAGACATGAGTGAAAATTAGAAATATTAATGAGTTGGAGAGCTCCAAGAAAACATAAGTTCCAGGTACTGAATGTATGTGCAGTGTGGGTAGTCAGTAGATCAACTGCTTAGTAAGAAGTTGTGGAAGCCACCTCCATCCAATCCTTTCCTTCATCCTATCCTAAATCCTTATCCACACATCTCTTCCAAGTGCTGTATAGTCATTATGGCTTAGTGCTTTGTCTTGAAAATTACTTTACTTTACTCCCCACAGAAACTGTTAGGTAAGCACAATTGGGCAACAAGGGGTTACTCAACTGTTGGGCACCATATTTATATTCAAAATTTGTTAGATTCAACAATTTAAGCTAAATTATTTTAATTTTGACATCTGAATTCATTTGTGTGTTAAGCTTCCACCAGTGTCTCCTTGTTCTGCCATTCCTCATTTTGAGCATTTCTTCTCTATCTACTTAGTTTCACTTTGAATCTTATTTGGCATTATCATGTTTTCTCTGTTTTGTCTTCCTTCCAGTTAATTGTGGGTGGTGTTGACTGATGATATTAGGTGGTGGTAGAGTATGTTGGTAATACTGTATGAGCTCGATTATCCGGATTCTGCTAAACCTGATATCGGGGTCATCCAGACAAAATCGCATCCGGATAATTTTATGTCTATATCCAGATGAATGGGGAGGGAGGGGGAGGAATGAGTGATGACAAGGATGGGGTGCATAGAGGTATTGGTAGGGAGAGTTTGTCACTGGATGTTGGGTTTATCCAGATGGGGATAGTAATTTGGATAATCAAGCTCATACAGTACTGTAGTATCATCAAATTATTGTGTTAAAGATAAAAGTGAAGAAGGTAGGTTTTGAAAGCATGCTCCTTGTAAAGTTTTAATTTGAGTGTTTGGAATATTTTTTCTAGTGAAGGAAAATAGAGGTTTCTTATAAAGATCAATGCCATTATTTACAAAATCCAACTTAAAATTTAAATAACCTCTGTTTAAATTATGAATTCATAAAAGAAGAAATGAAGAACAACATTTACACTGAACAAAATAAATTCATTCTAACATATCAGACAGCAGACATCATAATGAACACCTGTGATATAACCATTATGCACTTGAGTCCTATATAGTTTCTCTTTTGCATACTGTATCATGGTGAATACAGGAAACCAAGAGGAAGGATGATTGGGAATGTATGTTGGAGTTCAGTGGTGGCTGCTTTTTTACAGTAAGTTTCCTATAGTATGGTACTTTTATCATTTCACATTTTTCATTAATTTTAGACGGAAGGAATATGATTTACGCTCCAAGATATCACAAAAGGAGGTAGAGCTAGCAACTCAGTTGAAGAAGAGTTTGACAGAGAGACGGATAGTGCAACAGGCATCATTGGACGACCGCCTTTCACGCAGGATGAAGTTCCTGGACCTGACCTTTCCTTCAAAGGTGGAAGAAATACAGCCAGAGGAAGAGCCGGAGGAATTTATACCACTTACTTCAGAGATGGAGGTAAATTTGGTATTGGGATGTTTTCACACAACACGGTATCACAGACAACGCTTTAATGGTTTGGGATCTCAACTTTGGGTATGGATGTATGTTCTTGGATTACTGTATTAGTTGGGGGTTATCCCTAGGTCACCAGCTGAGGGGTTTTCTTCCAGGGGTCACCAGCCAGAATATTTTATTTCTGTGTCACTAGTCAGGTTTTTTTTGCTGGATCACTAGACTGAGGGTTTATTTATGGAGGGCACCTGACAGCTGAGTGGACAGTGCTTCGGATTTGTAGTCCTGAGGTTCCGGGTTCGATCCCCGGTGGAGGCGGAGACAAATGGGCAAAAATGTTTCTTTCACCCTGATGCCCCTGTTACCTAGCAGTAAATAGGTACCTGGGAGTTAGACAGGAGGAGGAGGAAGGAGGCCTGGTCGAGGATCGGGCCGCGGGAACACTAAGCCCCGAAATCATCTCAAGATAACCTCAAGATAAGATGGATCTCCAGGGTTTATTGCTGGGTCACCAGACAGAGTGGAAGGTATTGTTCCTGGGGAACTGGGCCAGGGTACATTCATGGGTCACCAGCATAGGGGGGGGTGGCGGGTGAAGTCTATACATGGTGGTAATTGCATGCGCTAGGCACTGGGGTGGCAAGCACACATTGTAGGGGCAGCTCGGTGTCGGCAAAAAACACTAAAACCACAAAAATATCTCCAACTGCAATCGCTGGCACGGACGGTCTGGGGTTTCCCCTTTTTCCTCCCGGGGACGGGGAAAGGGGGTTGCACAGACGGCGGCACGGCAACATGATGATGTCATGCCAGTTTGCTAATTTTCATTTAGGAAGTTCTGTCCACTCATTCGGCTTTCGGTACCAATAGTGTCACCAGAATAGGGGTTTGTTTTGGGATATCTATCTTTCTGGGTGTCAGTCCCTGTCAATGGCTGACATAGAATGCTCCGAACCACATGGGTTTTTCAATAGGCCATTGCTCCTCGCACCTCTATGAGGGGGGCCAGGTTCTGGCTCGTGGTCCTGGGTAGGCAAGAACTCCATGCACATTGACTGATGCCAGAAAGTTGTGCATATCCATTCAGCCTAGATAGCTCTGGGGAGCCTCCGGGTCTCACCCAGAAAATGGAGTTTCATTACATTCAACGCTGGTTTTTTATATAATTCAAATATTTTCTTGGGGGGAGCCCCTTTGGCTCCCCGGAGCTATCCGGCTGATTCGGATGTGTGAGCTTTGGACATCAGTCAATGTACATGGAGTTTTAGGCTTATCAGGGACCACGAGTCAGAACCTGGCCCCCTCATAGAGGGATGACGAGCAATGGCTTATTGAAACATATTGAAACACCTTATTTTAGAAGTACTCTGTCTGCCATCAACTGGGTTGGGCACCCAGAAAGATAAGCGCCCCAAAATACCCCCCCCATTCTGGTGAAGAAATGCTTCCAAACGCTGAATGAGAGGATAGAACTCTCTATGAAGAAAAACAATCAAATGAGCATGACGTCATCTCGTTACCAAAGCGCCACGGTCTGCACAACCCCCCCTCCCATCCCCGGGAGGGGAAGAGGGAGCCCCAGACCTTCAGGCTACCTGAGCCTGTCAGTTCTTGGCTGATGTTGGTAGGCTTCAGTCGTGTACCTCCAGCTCCGGCTTTTCTTCTCTGTTCTTGCTTCAGTGGTGTGCAAGCTGGGAGTATATTCACAAGTACTCAGGCTGCATGCTCTTAGGGTCCCCTTCCCTCAACACCCTGTAAGTACTACCCTTGAGCCTTGGGGCCTCCTTCCACAAGTCACCTTGGGAGCTACCTCCATTGTGTCAATTGCTGCTCGGTACTTGGCCGCCCTTGGAGTCAGCTGAGGGGTTTTCTTGCTCCTCTGTTCATCTCTGGGTAGGGGGTAGTATTCGTCACTGGTAGAGGTGCAGGGTATTACGCAGCTAGTTTTCACCTCTCAAAGCGGCCGGCTCTGCATCCTTTGGGTACCCTGCCCTCTTGCGGGTTTTTTGTTTCTCGCTTTGGCGGGGGTCGGGGAGTCGGGGACGCCTGAGCACAGCACGGTGTCAATTGTGCCGGAGCAAAGCACGGTGTTGCGGGCACAGGAGCAGAGAGCGGTGTCGATAGCGCCGGAGCAGAGCACAGTGTCACAGGCCCCGGAGTAGAGCACAGTGTCGTGGACGCCGCAGCAGAGTGCGGTCCCTGGCAAAGGGAAACAAACAAAACAAGGCCCCAAAATCTGTTGGTAGTACAAATGGGCTACCTGTAAACATGGAATATCGGGAAGAACAAATGGAACATGTAAGTACGATCACCCTAGAAAGTGCAGAAACCTCCACAATACAGGTAAATGTACCAAAAGCTGTGAATTCTTTCACCCAGAAATTTGCAAAAACTCTTTGGACAGGAAAGAGTGCTTCAATGCTGAATGTCCAGCTTTTCATATAAGAGGTACCAGGCGAATAAAACCGACAGACCGCCACTATGAAAACAGCCACTACTCCATCGACCGGGATAATTTTTTAGCAAGAGGAGGAGGAGAAGAATGGCTAAAAATGACTAGACTCTACCACCAACTCGGTCAAATGCTAGAGAGGACGCAAACACAGTGGCCTCCTTACCAGAGCCTCAGATATTAACACCAAGTAAAGCATCCAGCACTTCCACTAACACGATAACATCATTTATATTTGCCAACATCCAGGGTATAAAACCACGCAAATCCAACAAAGTACACTTTATAGATGGTCTCCATGAGGTGAATGCAGTGTTTGCAGCCCTAACGGAAACTCACACAAAGGACTACCATGATGGTGAAATATGGATCTCAGAGTACAATCTTTTCAGATGTGATAGGAAACACCGGCTTCAGGGTGGGGTCAGCCTCTACATCAAAGACACACTCATCTGTACTGAGCTACTAAACACCTCAAATGATATGGTGGAAGTGCTGATAATCAAAATAGAGATCCTAAATGTAGTTGTTGTCCTTGTATATAAGTTACCGGAGGCAAACCCTCAGCAGTTTAAAGACCAACTAATGAAAATAGAACACTGCTTGGAAAACCTCACAAATCCAGCTCCGAACATCATCTTGCTTGGGGACTTCAACCTACGGCACCTGAAATGGAAGCACCTGGCTAATACAGTAATATCAGAAAGAATACCATGAAGTAGCTTAAATGAACAGGCACATGCAAATGACCTGCTACGGATGTGCGACAGGTTTGCCTTAAACCAGCAAATAGTAGAACCAACTAGGAAGGAGAACACGCTGGACCTCATTTTCACTAATAATGATGAATTGATCGGGAACATATTGATTACAAATATCTGTTACTCAGATCACAACTTAATGGAAGTTCTGACAACCATAGGAAATAGACCTTCAAAACCAGTCCAGATTCCCGGTGGAGTAGATTTCAGCAAATTCAACTTAAGTAGTAAACAGATAAGCTGGGAGCAAATAAACCAGGACTTCACAGAAATAAACTGGGAAGAACAGCTAGAAAATGCAAACCTGAACCAGTGCCTGGAAAAAATAAGCTCAGTAGCACTAGAAATATGTTCAAACCGCATACCCCTAAGAAAAAAGAGAAAGAGATACAGATTGGAACGGGAACGTCGTTCCCTATATAGGCGAAGAAAACGAATCGCGGAACAACTTGAGAGGCGCACCCTACCTCAAGAATGGCGAAGAAGGTTAGGTAGAGAAATAGAAACAATTGAACTCAAGCTACAAGAATCATACAAAACCCAGGAGAGGCAAAGAGAGCAAAAAGGCCATCAGTGAAATAGAGAGAAATACAAAATATTTTTTCTCCTATGCAAAATCAAGATCAAAAACCACATCTAGTATCGGGCCCCTGCGAAAGGGAGATGGAACTTTCACCGACGACAAAAAAAAAATGAGCGAGTTACTGAGGAAGCAGTACGACTCTGTTTTCAGTGAGCCACTAAACGCACTAAAGATTGATAACCCAAATGAATTTTTCATGGATATGATACCAACATCAAATCATATATCAGACATCACCCTATCCCCACTGGATTTTGAAGAATACATAAACAGTATGCCTATGCACTCTGCACCAGGCCCGGATTCTTGGAACTATATTCATCAAGAACTGTAAAAAACCACTATCGCAGGCCCTTCACATTCTGTGGAGACAAAGCCTAGATACTGGCGTTATCCCTGACATACTAAAAACAGCAGAGATAGCACCAATCCATAAAGTTTTACATACATACATACATTCTTGTAAAGCCACTAGTACGCGTAGCGTTTCGGGCAGGTCCTTAACCCTAATTTCCCTGGAATACGACCCCGCCGAATCGTTTAACAACCAGGCACCCATTCACTGCTGGGTGAACAGAGGCTACAGTTAAGGATTGGCGCCCGATCAATCTTCCCCAGCCAGGATTCGAACCCAAGGCAAGGCGCTTGCGAAACGCCAGGCGAGTATCTTACCACTGCGCCACGGAGACTGCGACTATAAGGAGGAAATAAGGCAGAGGCAAAAAATTACAGACCGATAGCACTAACATCGCACATCATAAAAAATTTTGAGAGTTCAAAGAGGTAAGATCACAAAATACATGGAATCACAGCATCTCCATAACCCCGGACAACATGGTTTCAGAACAGGGCACTCTTGCCTGTCGCAGTTGCTGGACCACTATGATATGGCATTAGATGCTATGGAAGACAAACAAAACGCTAATGTAATTTACACAGATTTCACAAAAGCTTTTGATAAATGTGACCATGGTGTTATTGCACATAAAATGTGTTCAAAAGGAATTACCGGAAAAATAGGCAGATGGATCTACAATTTCCTGACTAACAGAACCCAATGTGTAATAGTCAACAAAATAAAATCCAGCCCATCAACCATGGAGAGCTCAGTCCCCCAGGGTACTGTGCTTGCTCCAGTACTTTTTCTCATCCTCATATCGGACATAGACAAGAACACAACCTATATCACTGTATCATCCTTTGCAGATGACACTAGGATCTTCATGAGAGTAGGCAACATAGAGGACACGGCAAACCTTATCAGATGTAGATCAGGTCTTTCTGTGGGCTACAGAAAATAATATGGTGTTTAACGAAGATAAGTTCCAGCTCA